CGAGAGCCTGAGTCTAGCTTTGACCTTGAGCCTGAGCCTAGAGCTGCTGTCCGTGCTCGTGTTCCTCGTGTTCGTCGTCCGCGTGCTCCGGCTGTCCCCGGCACTCACGATATGACACTCCGTCCTTCCTCTGTTCCTCAGCGTGTTGTACTACCGTTACCTACTGCGTCCTCTCTGCCTGACGTTGCTGACCCTCCGTCTGACCTTGCTCGTGCGTCCAGTCCGACTGTTACTCGCCTTCTTGCTACGGTTGTGACGGACCCTACGTTCTCGTCTCCTACTGCGTCTGCCCTAGTAGCTGAGCTTGTTGACTTTGCTGCTGTGTACCGCCTAGACTACCTTGCGAGTCTTGTCTCTGACCCTGTCCCTGCCTGTCTTCCGTCCGTCGGGGGTGAGACTGCTCTTGGCTGTACTGCCCTTGGCTGTGACGTTCTTGAGGACAGACAGGAGGAGTTGGAGTGCCTTGCTGCCGCTTCACCCCATCACGCGACCATGCTGCTTGCCCCTGAAGGAGACCCGGATGCACTTGACATCCCCACCCCGCGCTCCTACAGGGAGGCGATTTCGGGTGAGTACTCCTCTCAGTGGCAGACAGCCATGGACGCAGAGATGGCTTCCTGGAAGTCCACAGGCACCTACGTCGACGAGTTTCCCCCACCTGGGGCGAACATCGTCAGTGGCATGTGGATTTTCAGTGTGAAGCGGCCGCCGGGTTCTCCGCCTGCCTTCAAGGCACGTTACGTTGCTCGAGGCTTCAGTCAGCGTGAGGGGGTCGACTTCTTTCAGACCTTCTCCCCCACCCCGAAGATGACCACTCTTCGGGTGTTGCTACACGTTGCAGCTCAGCGTGACTACGAGCTGCACTCCCTCGACTTCTCGACAGCTTTCTTGCAGGGTAGCCTTCACGAGGCCATCTGGTTGCGCCGTCCACAGGGCTTCACTGGGTCGTTTCCTGAGGGTACCCAGTGGAGCCTACGGCGACCAGTGTACGGCCTGCGTCAGGCGCCCCGTGAGTGTCACGACACATTGAGGACGACACTTGCGGCTCTTGGGTTTGCTCCTTCGACTGCTGACCCGTCGCTGTTTCTACGCACCGACACTACTGTGCCGCCGTTCTACATCCTCGTGTACGTCGACGACTTGGTTTTTGCTACTGCTGACACTGAGGCACTGGCCCTAGTGAAGGCGGAGCTGCACGAGAGACAGACCTGCACTGACCTGGGTGAGCTGTGGAGCTATCTTGGCTTGCAGATTACCCGGGATAGACCACGGCGCACCATCACCCTCACTCAGTCACACATGGTGCACCAGGTCCTTCAGCGCTTCCGCTTCACTTGGTCCTCGCCATAGCCCACTCCTCTGTCTACCGGCCACTCGCTCTCAGCTCCACCTTCGGACGAGTCCGTAGAGCCGAGTGGTCCGTACCCAGAGCTTGTGGGTTGCCTCATGTACCTGATGACGTGCACACGACCTGACCTCGCGTACCCTCTCAGCCTCCTGGCTCGCTACGTGGCACCTGGTCGACACCGAAAGGTGCACTTTGATGCTGCGAAGAGGGTACTGCGTTACTTGTGCAGCACATCGGGCATGGGGCTCGTGCTTGGAGGACGGGGTTCGGTGGTCCTCACAGGACACTCTGACGCTTCTTGGGCCGATGACCAGACGACTCAGCGTTCGTCACAGGGTTACACCTTCAGTCTTGGCGCTGGTTCTGTCTCGTGGAGGTCCACTCGTTCTTCTTCTGTGCTTGGTTCCAGCTGTGAGGCCGAGATCTACGCTGGGGCCATGGCTGCACAGGAGCTACGCTGGCTGACCTACCTGCTGACCGACTTGGGGGAGCTGCCTCGTTCTCCTCCAGTTCTGTACGTCGACAACAAGGCAATGTTTTCCTTGTGTCGCGAGCAGAGACTGGAGCACAGAACGAGCACATTGCTCTTCGCTACTTCCTTGCGCGTGAGCTGCAGCAGCGTGGTCAGCTGCGCCTTGCTTACGTGGCCTCTCGGGCCAACACTGCTGATGTCTTCACCAAGGCCCTTGGGGCTGGTGATCATCACCGTTTCTGCACTGCTCTTGGGCTTGTGCCCACTCTGCCTCACCTGTTGGTTGCTTGACTTGCTCTTGTTGTACACTGCTATATATCTTTATACCTGCATGTTTTCTCTTGCTAGGTTGTGATCAGTGTACTGCCTTGCTATTATATACCTCTGCATGTGAACTGGCCTTGTGGCCACTTGCTTGTGCTCAGAATGCGTGGTGACTTTGTGATCCACCCTGAGCTGTGTTCTCTTCAGCAGACTGGTCTTGTGACCGCTTGTTGTGTTTGTTGTCCCCTACTTTGCCTATGGGGGTGTGTCAGATTACAATTGTATCTCTAGGCTACAGTAGGGTCACTTCTTAGTGAGTACAACACTTTAGGGTTAGGTTTCCCCTACTTGTACTCACCTCTTGCCTAGTCCAATCCATCATTCCTAGTTCTATTCTTGACAACGGGCTCGTGTTGTACTCACTGGCCACGCAGACGCTTCTTGGGTTGACGAGTTGGCTACGCAGCGGTCGTCACAGGGTTACACTTTCAGCCTTGGCTCCGGCTCTGTTTCGTGGCGGTCTACCCGCTCGTCTTCTGTTCTCAGTTCCAGTTGTGAGGCTGAGATCTACGCAGGGGCCATGGCTGCACAGGAGTTACGCTGGCTCACCTACCTGCTGACCGACTTGGGAGAGCCGCCTCGTTCTCCTCCAGTTATGTACGTCGACAACAAGGCAATGATTGCCTTGTGTCAGGAGCACAGACTGGAGCACAGAACGAAGCACATCGCTTTGCGCTACTTCCTTGCTCGAGAGTTGCAGCAACGTTGTCAGCTTCGTCTTGCTTACGTGGCCTCTCGGGCCAACACTGCTGATATCTTCACCAAGGCACTTGCGCCTTGTGATCATCAGCGTTTCTGTACTGTTCTAGGCCTTGTGCCTACTTTGCCTCACTTGCTCACTTCTTGACTTTGCTTGTACAGTGATCTATATTCATATATCTGCATGCTTACACTTGCTAGGTTTTGATCACTGTACTGTTTGTTCTCCATTATATAACTCTGCTTGTGAACTGGCCTTGTGGCCATTTGCTTGTGCTCAGGATGCGTGGTGACTTCGTGATCCACCCTGAGCTTGCTTTGCTTTTCTTGACTGGTCTTGTGACCTCTTGTTCTCTCCCACTTTGCCTATGGGGGTGTGTCAAACAGGGGCCTGGTTATCAGACCAATTTGGTCTGATGGTCTGATTTTCAGACTTAGTTTTCTTTGTTCATCTGATCTGTAAGACTTCAATTTTATGCCCGTCTGATCTGTAAGACAAAGGTTTTTACTTCATATGAAATTTCAGACCGCACGCTATTCTTCATCTGAGTTTTCAGATAACGAGTACAATTCCGTCTGAAACCGACATTTCTGGTCACTAGGCCATAGCCCCCACCCATCCCACACCTCCCCTGCGAAGTCTCTCACTCGCTCTTCTGCCATACCAGCCCAGCCCCCCATTCAACTCAAGTCAAGACCCTCGCTGCTCTACCAGCCCAGCCCTTCCCACCCCACCCCTTGCACACCACACGCCAAGTCCCTCACGTCGCATCTCCCAGCACAGCCCCCTTCCCCTCAATCCCTCCAGGTCCCTCGCGATTCAGACCGCCACGGTCCCCCATGCATGGAGACCAACTTTCCCGCATGTTCTTTCGCCGCCCAACTGCCACGAATGTCTGCTACTGTAACGGCCGTCAGCGACGCTGCCATTGGCATGTTTATACTTCGTAAAATCTGACTCGAATTATGGTCGACTAGTGTATTCGGCCCAATCAGACAATGAAAAAGAATTCGTCTGAAAATTCAGATACACCCTCAACATCCGTCTCAAAATTCAGACGAAAAAAAAAAGCCCGTCTGAACGTCAGACGAAACGATTTTTTCTATTAGTGTTTTCAGACGGGCCTAAATCCTAGCAAGAGCCCTGGTGTCAAACTTATATGCTGCTTATTGTGTAGGCTATAGTGGGGTAGCCCATATGGGGTACAACCCTATTAGGGTTTCCTACTTGTACCCATCTTGCTGCTAGTTCATCCTGTCAGAGGTCCACTGGTGATCCCCGATTGATCCTAGGGAAGGGTTACAGGCTCGTTGTCCTGGGGGGTTATGGGCGCACTGACCCGCTACTTAAACAAGCCCTTTTATCCCAATGGTCTAGTGGTTGGGATTATGACATGGTATCAGAGCGAAGGTCTCGGGTTCGAATCCCAGTGTGTGCACTTCGGGCATCCCAGTGCGGGGGGGTGTCAGAGGTCCACTGGTGATCCCCGATTGATCCTAGGGAAGGGTTACAGGCTCGTTGTCCTGGGGGGTTATGGGCGCACTGACCCGCTATTTAACAAGCCCTTTTATCCCAGTGGTCTAGTGACTGGGATTCTGACACATCCATTCTCGTTCGTTATTCTGACACGACGGGCCTGACGCCGAGGTTGGAAATTGTCGAGGCGAAGGACCGGAGTGCGGGTTACCAGCCGAGCCGTGAGGTTGGGTCACGATGTGAACAGTGGCGGGAACAGTGGTCGAGGCGAGTGTCGCGAGATGGTAACTGTTTACTGTTGGGGAACTGTGGCGGGAACAGTCGTGCACGAAGTAAGGGGCGCGAAGTAAGGAAAATGAAATTTCCTTACACAAGACAACATTTAACATGGTTGCACAATTTGGTTGGTTCGAATTCCAATGGAATGGAGGGAAACATAATAAAAAACTATGATTTTCATCAAAACAGAGTAATTTATTGTGATAACAAAACCCCTGATTGGAATGCATCCGAACTTATTTGTATGTGGTGGTTAGCCACAGTCGTTACCCAACCCAACCGCTATGTATTCCCTACACCCCTTTCCCTTCGGCACTCTCTAAGCGAGCACAGGTCGCGCTAAGCAGGGAGCTAAGACGTAACACCCACGTTACACACACCTCCACCCACGCGTTCCCCACATGCTCCGCATTGCCTCCTGCCCCATCCCCCTCTTTACGACTTCCGCGCCTCCGCGTTGCCGTCACCATTCTCGCACGATATGCCCTGCTGCCAATGGCTACCTGCCACGTGGCGCAGCCGAGGCCACTACTGAGCTCGCGGAGTGGCTTGATGGCGGGGTGCTGCGCTGTGGGCAAAGGGGGAGGCGGATGGGCCAGCTGAGGCGGATGGGGCGCGCAGCTGCGGCTGGAAGGGGCGCGGAAGTGGTCAGGGTGGGGGAATGGGCAGACAGGCGGCAGCGCGGGTGCGGTTGGGCGATGACGCCAGCTGCGCGCGGCTGCTGGCGAGTGAAGGGGCGAGGGGCTGAATGGACAGTGGGGAGGACGGCGGGGAGGATTAGCGGGGGAAGGATCTGGGCGCGCGCAGAGTGGGGCGAGAGCGGCTGTGAGGAGGCACGTGAGGGGGGTGAGGCGCGGGAGAGGGGAGGAGGAGAAAGTGAGAGTGGGAGCGTAGTGGAGGGAGCAGATGCAGCAGGGAGCGTGTGGGATGGGTGTGGAGGTGGAGAGGGCGAGCGCGGCAGCAGTGGAGGCGGCGATGGGGTGTGCGAGGGGCGGCGGCGGTTCATGATGGTGCTGGCGTACGACGGCACGCACTTCCACGGTGAGACGCGCATACGCCATGCCACCCCCGCCGCATATTCCCCGCCGCGAGACCCCCGCCCGCACGCCTTCTGGCGCCCCTTTGAAGGCGCACAGCGAAGTGATGCAAAGCGATCCCACACGTGATGCTGGAGGGTCATGGTGCATGGTGGATGGTGCATGGTGCATGGTGCATGGTGCATGGTGCATGGTGGATGGTGGATGGTGCATGGTGCATGGTGCATGGTGGATGGTGCATGGTGCATGGTGCATGGTGCATGGTGCATGGTGCATGGTGCATGCGTGGTGCATGGTGCATGGTGCATGCGTGGTGCATGGTGCGAGGTGCAAGGTGCATGGTGTGGTATGCATGGCGCATGGTGCATTGTATATGGTGCATTGTATATGGTGCATTGTATATGGTGCATTGTATATGGTGCATGGTGCATGGTGCATGGTGCATGGCGGATGGCGCATGGCACATGGCCCATTCTGCTCCTCCCCATTCTGCTCCTCCCCATTCTGCTCCTCCCCATTCTGCTCCTCCCCATTCTGCTCCTCCCATCTCTGTTCCTCCCCACTCTACTCCCCCCTCTCTGCTGCGCCCCGCCAGGGCAGGCTGGCAGCGGCAGGCGCATCACCCCACGGTGCAGGGGGCGGTGGAGGCGGCGCTGGTGACGTACACGCGGGCGAGCATCGCCTCGCTGGGGGTCACCGGTGCCTCGCGCACCGACGCTGGCGTGCATGCGTGGGGGCAGGTATGCATGCTTGGGGGCAGGTATGCATGCTTGGGGGCAGGTATGCATGCTTGGGGGCAGGTATGCATGCTTGGGGGCAGGTATGCATGCTTGGGGGCAGGTATGCATGCTTGGGGGCAGGTATGCATGCTTGGGGGCAGGTATGCATGCTTGGGGGCAGGTATGCATGCTTGGGGGCAGGTATGCATGCTTGGGGGCAGGTATGCATGCTTGGGGGCAGGTATGCATGCTTGGGGGCAGGTATGCATGCTTGGGGGCAGGTATGCATGCTTGGGGGCAGGTATGCATGCTTGGGGGCAGGTATGCATGCTTGGGGGCAGGTATGCATGCTTGGGGGCAGGTATGCATGCTTGGGGGCAGGTATGCATGCTTGGGGGCAGGTATGCATGCTTGGGGGCAGGTATGCATGCTTGGGGGCAGGTATGCATGCTTGGGGGCAGGTATGCATGCTTGGGGGCAGGTATGCATGCATGGGGGCAGGTATGCATGCATGGGGGCAGGTATGCATGCTTGGGGGCAGGTATGCATGCTTGGGGGCAGGTATGCATGCTTGGGGGCAGGTATGCATGCTTGGGGGCAGGTATGCATGCTTGGGGGCAGGTATGCATGCTTGGGGGCAGGTATGCATGCATGGGGGCAGGTATGCATGCATGGGGGCAGGTATGCATGCGTGGGGGCAGGTATGCATGCATGGGGGCAGGTATGCATGCTTGGGGGCAGGTATGCATGCGTGGGGGCAGGTATGCATGCATGGGGGCAGGTATGCATGCGTGGGGGCAGGTATGCATGCGTGGGGGCAGGTATGCATGCATGGGGGTAGGTATGCATGCGTGGGGGCAGGTATGCAAGGCGTGCATGCTTGGTGGTTGGCATACCCAGCGTGAGAGCAGTGCCAGTAGTTGGAGCAGTGGAGGAAGCATGCGAGGACCAATCTCATCTAGTCAGTGATGCAGCATAGTGATTCACTCGCTTCCTCTGCCCACTCGTTGCCCTTCCTCATTCCCATCAGGTAGCTCACTTCACCACCGCCTCCCCCATATGCGACCTCCCCCGCATGCACCGCGCCCTCAACGCCCTGCTGCCGCCCGCCATCCGCGTGCGCTCGCTGTGTGCCGTGCCGCTCTCCTTCCACGCGCGCCTGCATCCATGCGGCAAGCGCTACCACTACACCGTGCTCAACAGCCCCACGCCGCACCTGCTGCCGCACCGCCGCTCCACGCTGCTCTCCTACTCGCGCGGCCCGCTGGACCGCCAGCTCATGGCGCAGGCAGCCCGGCTGTTCGAGGGGCGGCGGGACTTCGCGGCGTTCGCCAACGCGTGTGAGGCGAAGGAGAAGGGCGCGGTGAGGGAGATCACACGGTTCGAGCTGGTGGGCGAGGCGGACTGCTGGCAGGGCGTGGTGGAGGAGGTGAGGGAGTGTGATGCTCCGGTGGCGCTGTCTTGTATGGTTTGTGAGCTATGCAGTCCCACCACGCATCTTGGCACCATGCATCGTGGCACGACTCTTAGCTTGGCATCATCCACCCAAGCCCCTCACGCGTGCTGCTGTGTGTCTCCTCGTGAGTGCAGGGAGAGGCGTCACCCGTGTTCCGCTTTGAGGTGGAGGGATCGGGGTTTCTCTATCGACAGGTCCGCAACATGGTGAGATGCAGTGTGGTGAGATGCAGCATGGTGAGATGCAGCATGGTGAGATGCAGCATGGTGAGATGCAGCATGGTGAGATGCAGCATGGTGGGATGCAGCATGGTGGGATGCAGCATGGTGGGATGCAGCATGGTGGGATGCAGCATGGTGGGATGCAGCATGGTGGGATGCAGCATGGTGGGATGCAGCATTGTGGGATGCAGCATGGTGAAGCACAGCTCCCATCCGTGGGCTCCATTGTCTCTGCCTCTCCTTTCACAGCACTCCATATGTGCAACTGTTCATGCCTTCTCCATGTTCTCACCACCCCCTCTTGTCAGCCCAGCCCACATGCTGTGGGTATCTGCACACTTGGCTTTGCGCTTGCCCTCCTTTCATCCTTCTCCCACTGTCCTCCCATCTCGTCTCTCCGCATCACTCCCTCCGCGCCGCGTCCTCTCTCCAGGTGGGCCTACTGCTGCAAATAGGAGCCGGCACGCTGCCCCCCTCTATAGTCACGGAGCTCCTGCTCTCGGGGGACCGCCGCCAGCTGGCACGTGTGGCGCCCACCGCCAAGCCCCAGGGGCTCTCCCTCATGCGCGTGGACTACCCTCCCACTGCCCTCATTCCGCCGCCCGACTCCCCGCCACCCAGCCTCAGTTATTTCGAGCAATAGAGTGCTTGCTCTTGTTGGCACAACACATGTTTGCCGTTTTTTAAAGTGCATTGCCAAACAGGACACACACACGCGACTATGACTGTTCATATTGGTGGCTAACCAGAAATAGTTTGATTGTAGCAGGATCTTTGTGGAGTATAGACTTGCTGAAATATTGTTGCAGCAGAAGCAGGAATTCCTGTATTGGTAATAGTGAGAACAAGAATTGATGATACCGTAAGAGAAGGTTACAAAGAAATATAGTCCTACAAAAGTACCTATTAAGAAAGCTTGCTTTCTGTTCTTGCAAAGGCATCGTGCTTCATTACAATTGCAGTAATTACAACATTCTCGTCCAACTATAGATTATACAAGTTTCGTATACGACTAGGGTGGGTGGGTGGGGAGTGGAACTGCAAGTTCCAAATGAAGACGTGGGTGGAGGCCAAATGGCCTCCAACCCTCGTTATGTACTCGGCGAATTGTAATTCGCCGTTGCCTTGCTGCGATACAGTCAGCTGCGCTTTCACAATACGAATTTTTAGAAAGTGTTACACACTTTCAAAAATTTTCATATTGAGAAAGCTTGCTTTCTGTTCTTGCAAAGGCATCGTGCTTCATTACAATTGGGTCTTCTGAGACATGTGCAGTTGGGGGCGTTGAAGACTTGTTGAGTGCGGCTGCGCCTGACGAAGTTGTCGAAGTGCAGAGAGGTGGCGTTGCGTTGGTGGCACCAGGGCTGACTTTATCAGACTAAAATAGTCTGATTGTCTGAAATCTCAGGGTATTTTCCTACGGATCCTGATTTTTCAGACTTGTAAGATTTTCAAACATGAGTGCCTCAGACTTACTTGGTTTTGGATCCTGAGATTTTCAGAGTACTGACTTAGCCGATAATGGGTCTTCATACTACAGGGAGTACGGATCCTGAAATGCGGATCTGTGATTTCTACGTACATTCCGCTACGTCATATGTTGCCAGTGTACGAACACACTTCATGGCGCTGTCACGCGCAGAATCTGTCCTTGGCAACTTTTGCCACCCTTTTCCCTTAGAAATCTGCCAAGTTGGCTCACTCTTCCACTCACGCGGGACCATCACTGCAGCTACGCGGTGTCAGCGAGGGAAACTGGTTAGCGTTGCGGCCCACGTGCTACATTTGTGGCAGTACTGTACTGCAGTGGTTGTAGTGTGTTCTGAGTACTTCAGAGGCCCTCAGATTCACTTTTAGGGACGTTGATGCATCAGGGTCCCTGTGAAAAATTGCCTGATTTTTCAGGGTTCCAAAAAAAAAAAACCCTGAATTTTCAGGGTTCCTAAAAACAGAAGCCTGAATAGTCAAATTAATCATGCCTTCAGGGAATATGCTAACCGATGTATTCGAACCGCAGACCTTTTCATTGCGTGTAAATTTCGCTAACAACTGAGACATTTCATACCAATTGTCAGTATGTTGTTTATCTATATATTAAAAGTAGAAATGTTGGTCTCTTAGGTGTTTTACGGGAAGGATTCGGAATGTGCATTCAGTGTACACTTCGATAAAAGTCTGAAACATCAGTGTTAGCTATGACGTAAAGGCTGAAAAAATCAGTGTCCCAAAAATCTCAACACTGAAAAATCAGGGGAGGTACACAAAACTAGGCTGAAAATCAGGAATTTCAGGGGAAAATTCCTGATATCGTAGGGCCTTCAGACTTGTGTTTTTGCGGAACCTGAAAAATCAGAGTGGCCATTCTCTGGGAAATATGCCTCAGACTAAAAATTTTCAGAGCCCCCAGAACATCAGACTGGATTTTTTTGAATAGTCAGCCCTGGGTGGCACCAACTTGGTGCCATATTAAAAGGATTAGGACCGTTGTTCGTTGCTCGTAGTTGTTGGCGTCGTTGGCTCATATGAAAGGGGATATTCATGACAAATTCGCATTTTTAAATGATATGGAAATATAACATTATACAATCTATATCCATATGATACACCTCCACAACAATGTGCCGTATGTGGTAACCATATCAACCTTCCATAGGGCGACGATGGGCCCTCTGGCCAGCACGGGACCCTCGGTCCCTCTCCCCCCTTGGGGAACGGCCCTCTGGCCAGCACGGGGCCCTCGGTCCCTCTCCCCCCTTGGGGAACGGCCCTCTGGCCAGCACGGGACCCTCGGTCCCTCTCCCCCCTTGGGGAACGGCCCTCTGGCCAGCACGGGACCCTCGGTCCCTCTCCCCCCTTGGGGAACGGCCCTCTGGCCAGCACGGGACCCTCGGTCCCTCTCCCCCCTTGGGGAACGGCCCTCTGGCCAGCACGGGACCCTCGGTCCCTCTCCCCCCTTGGGGAACGGCCCTCTGGCCAGCACGGGACCCTCGGTCCCTCTCCCCCCTTGGGGAACGGCCCTCTGGCCAGCACGGGACCCTCGGTCCCTCTCCCCCCTTGGGGAACGGCCCTCTGGCCAGCACGGGACCCTCGGTCCCCTTCCTCAAGTGAAGGACCATGCGCGGGTGCACCAAGAGTTGATGTAGCCGTCGTTGCCCCAATTTGTTATGCTTGGCCACCTGCCAATGATTATGCCTTGCAACAGGAAAATTTGAAGGCTGAGGAATGATTGAATAAAAGAATTATCGAATGAACGGGAAGAGAATCCAAATTGCAACAAAAGACAAGTTAGCTTAAGATAGTAGAAGGAGTTAGCTGCGTGGCAATGCTGTTGTCGAACCAGTTAATGCAGGATCAAAAGCGGGCCTCTGGCATTTGCGTCAGTAGCGCCACTGGCGATTGCGTCAGTCGCGCCACTGGCGATTGCGTCAGTCGCGCCCCTGGCGATTGCGTCAGTCGCGCCGCTGGCGATTGCGTCAGCCGCGCCCCTGGCGATTGCGTCAGGCGCGCCCCTGGCGGTTGCGTCAGTTGCGCCCCTGGTGGTTGTGTCAGTCGCTCGAGCCCCTGGCGATTGCGTCAGCAGCGAGCCTGACGCTTGCGTCAGTCGCGCGACTGACGATGGTGTCACCAGGTGCGCCAGGGGCGAGTTCGCCTTAGGCTCGCTAGTGGTGGGTTCGCCCTGGGTCGCGCGCTCATTTGATGCGGGTTTGGCGCCGATTTCTTGCCCGCGGGTGTAGTCGCAACTCTCGCCGTCGACGTGAAATCGCGTGGCTTAAACTTGATAAGTAACTAAAAACAACTTATCAGAAATTAGTGCCTACTATGCGAGGTTCTAATGTCAACAGAAATCGAGAGAGAAAGGTCACCTGGTTAGTTGGACGAGAATGGAGTGGAACTGCAAGTTCCAAATGAAGACGTGGGTGGAGGCCAAATGGCCTCCAACCCTCATTATGTACTCGGCGAATTGTAATTCGCCGTTGCCTTGCTGCGATACAGTCAGCTGCGCTTTCACAATACGCATTTTTAGAAAGTGTTACACACTTTCAAAATTTTTCATATTTAAAGATGTACCTGCTTATTACTAACCGGCGTCACATCACTTTTGAAGGGTAATTCTATTTCAGTGTCACGCGAATAGTCACGAGACTAACTTTTACATTCTATCCTATAGAAGTACTACGATGAATCGATGATTAACCTATCACGATCGAACTACTGAATTGCGTCTTCGATTCATGACTAATCGTGATACTCCGAAACCATGAAACACTGACGATTCAGCCACTCCCGATAAGACATGTGGCTGGATCCTCACTGTTCATGGGTTCGGAGTATCACAATTAGACACAATTGGCGTTTGTGACGCAAAGTTTTGAAGACGCGTCTGTCAAACCATACAAATATTTGTGCTAGACTATAGTGAGGCATGCTGTAGGGAGTACAGCCTATTTAGGGTTTCCCATATTTATCTCACATTCTGCTAGTCAACCTCATTCCGCTGTTCTCATTCTGATATGATAACATCGTAGGTTGGTTCTGTCAAATTACATTTGTATGTGTAGGCTGTAGTGGGGTAGCCTCTACTGAGTACAACACTTTAGGTCAAACCTAGTACTTGTACTCATGCTTGCTTGCTAGTCAATCATTCCTGCACAGTGATTCTGACATGGTATTCAGAGCAGGAAACCTGCTAGGTTTTTAGGGCCCACCGATAGTTCCGCTCTCTCCTGCCCGAAGCGCCCTTGCGCTGTCCGGCCCTGCTCGCTCAGTGTCGCGCTGCCCTGCAGCTACCCGCACTGCCTGCCCTAGCGCGCTGCCCAGCTGTCACGCGCGCCCCTCCTGCCCGCGAGCGGCTACTGCCCCGCGCGCCCCTACTGCCCGCGAGCGGCCCTTGCTCCGCGCGCCCCTACTGCCCGCGAGCGGCCCTTGCCTCGCGCGCCCTACTGCCCACGAGCAGCCCCTGCCCCGCGCGCCCCTGCCCCGCGCGCCCCTGCTGCCCGCGAGCAGCCCCTGCCCCGCGCGCCACTGCTGCCCGCGAGCAGCCCTTGCCCCGCGCGCCCCTGCTGCCCGCGAGCAGCCTCTGCCCTAACGCGCCCCAGCAGCCCAGCGCGTCGCGCCCTGCTGCAGCCCGCACGTCGCGCCCTGCTTCCCTGCGCGTCGCGCCCTGCTGCAGCCCGCGCGTCGCGCTCAACTGCTCCGCGCGTTGCGCCCAACTGCAGCCCGCGCGTCGCGCTCTGCTGCAGCCCGCGCGTCGCGCTCTGCTGCTCCGCGCGTCGCGCCCTACTGCAGCCCGCGCGTCGCGCTCTCCTGCCCAGCGTGTCGCGCCCTGCTGCAGCCCGCGCGTCGCGCCCTGCTGCCCTGCACAGCGCACGCCCTGCTGCCCGCGCCGCCCAGGCCGAGCCGCGCCGCCCAGGCCGAGCCGCCCTGCCCAACCCGAGCCGCCCTGCTACTACTACTGCTACTGCTGCTGCTCGTTCTACTGCTGCTGGTGGAGGTGCTGCTGGGAGTGCTGGAGGTGCCGCCGCCCAGCCCCACCGAGCCGCCCTGCTGCCAGTACTGCTGCTACTGCTGCTCGTGCTACTGCTGCTGCTGGGAGTGCTGGAGGTGCTGCTGGTGCTGGAGGTGCTGGAGGTGCGGCTGGGAGTA